TTTGCTCTGGGATGTGACTCTGTCTTCCATACAGCTCACTGTTGTACCAGGGACTACTGTACAGTTTTATAGGGTGTGTTAGATTAGATACATTCCCAAACATTTTACTCTGCTAAGGAGCAAAGTCAGAACTTTGTCTGGTAATCTGTGCAAGGAGCTTTTTCTGCTCCTTCATTTGATTTAATGTGAGACTTCTATTTTAGTATAATGTGTCTAAGAACTCTCCCTGTTATTAAAAGAAAGCGGGCACTAACCCAATTTGTTTTAATTGTACATTAAGGGTTTGAGCCTGGAGGTAAGCTTGTATTTCTGCACGGCCGAACACCCTCTTTTAGCGTACACATATGTGTATTTATACATCCAGTATGCAGTTCATGATGGGATTTTCAAGTTTAGTATTTTAGTAACAATGCAGTTTCTCAGTTTCCACTTGTATTTTCTGCAAATAAGAATAAATATAGGAGACAGGCATACTTTGTCTATTTCTTCCTATGAATATAACAGAGGCGATTCGCTGATAAAAGAAAGAATGAAGCAGAATTAAAAATTAGACATCCTAACTTCTATAGCAGATCATTTAACAATTTTAGTGCAATAAAAAATTGAAAATGCATTAGTAAAATATTTTATCCACCAAGTTTGGTTCAAAATGCAATTTCCAGTGTGTTGGTGTTGGGGTTTTTTTTCGTAATCACAGGGAACAGTATTTACGTTTAGCTGCACTTTTTAAAATTGCTACTACAGTCTAACAATGAAGTTGATCCTGTAAGGTCATTGGGGAAAAGAAAAGACTCAGCACTTCTCAAGGTCAAGTATGAAGACAGTTCTTGTTGGAAAACAGTTAAAGTGTGGGTTGTTTCTCTAAAATGTTTTTCTCTAGCAAGCTGATCACAGTAGTAAAAGTATATGAAAAATACATTGTTTGTAATACTACTAGGAGGCAAAAGTGATACTACAAGTTATCTTGGTAACATAAAAAGGAGTTTCAAAAATGGGAATGTGTAGGTTTGGATGCACTATGAACACAATTCATACTGTGAGATGTTAGTTTTGATTTGAATTTCATTGTTTCAAACAAAAGAGCAGTATTTAAGAGGTTTTTTCTTTTACATAGTAAAAATCTATCTCAGCTTAAAACCATTGCCTACAACTAGTGAGCTGAAAAACGCAAAATGCTATGAAGGCAGTTTACCTGGACAGTGTCTGTTTTATTAGTTTTAATCAGAGTTGTACTGGGTATCGTGAAGGAAAAAACACGACTTTCAGCGTAACATAGCCAAGAAGCTGACATGTCTCGTGCCTTTCTCTTCCATTAGAGACATGCTATGCCTCCAGATGCTGCAGTCTGGATTTAGGGGCATATACTGCTCTTGCACAAATAAGAGTTGCATATGTTATGAGTTAATTCCGTTTTGTTGTGTTCTCTTACACATGGCGTTTTTGAAACAGTTAGATGGAAAATATTTTTAGTTTACCATCTTGTATTAAAATATACTTGGATTATGAAGTAAAATCTAAATCCCTGAGCGATATGTTCTACAGCTCAAATGCACAAATGCATAAAGTTCATGGACAAATTACCTATGAGGGAATAAGACAAAACCAGACAGTGTCCCCACATTGCTGTACTTTGCATTTGTGTCTCAGTCAGCTGAAAAGTATTCCAAATAATACACCTCTTCTTACAGCTGAGCTTCACTAAGCCCGCAGTGCTAGGCGCTTTTCGTTTGAAAGAGAAGGGATAGGAATAAGTGGTCCTCACACTTTTATTGTGGGCATCTAATTTAAATGAACTATGAGACATGCATTAAACAAGAGAGGACGGTGGCTACAGTGATTCAGTGCACCAAAATGCAATATGTAAACTTAGATGATGTGAAAGTGACTCAAAGATAGTCCCTTGCTAGAATAGTTTATTGAACCCAACCTGAGACCTATCACATTTTATCAAAGGACAGGCAAGTGTGATGCTTAATAAGGCATGACAAACAAAAATAATACTGGAAAAGTTTCTTTCAAGAAGTAGTACAATATATTCACAGCTCATCAATAAAGCTGCATTCTGTTTTGGTGAAACAAAATATAAAATGAGTTTATGCAAACATGGGTTCGGAAGTTGTCAGTCTCAAGGTATGTCACTCGAATGTTTCTTCGTGACAGTTAAGAACTTACCTATTTTTTTTTAGTGTCATTGATGCCTGCAAACTTAAAATAGCTTCCTTAATCAGAATCTTTGAGACTTTATCTGCAAATTAAGCACTTCTTGGCATGTATTTTTTTTTAGGGAAATCTATCTTTTTTTTTTCCCCCCTCATTCTTTCACAAGCCAAAATATCTGCATCTAAAACCCCCCTCAGTTTAGTCTAAAATTATGATTTCAAACAATTGTTATTTTGCATTTAATTTCTCCTATCTGTTGTTAGCATTATCTGATATTAGGTTTTGGGGTGCATGATGCAGTTATGCATTAAAAAGTACATCCAATTTTTAACTCTTTCTTTCCTACCGCTATTATTAATTAAGATTGCAATCCTGAAAATGTTTCTAGTCAAGAAAATCACCATGAACACAAAAAGGACTCTGTAAAAACACAGGATTACTCCCATGTGAAACTGGTGAAATGAATAAAGCCTGAGCTCTGCAGGGCAGTGAATATCTTTCTGTTCCGTATGCTAGCTAGTTAGGGGTTTCTGCTCCAAGTCTAAAGCTCATCACACTATAAATCATAGCATACACACCTGCAAAGTAAATAACATAATCCCAGCAGCTATAAAAACCTAGATATTTTGTAATTATTTATTCTTGGTGCATAGATATAGGCATATGTGTCTTTTTCTCCCTCCAGAGTAGAGAAAATTAGGAATCAGTACAAATACACACTGTAAGAGTAGTATTTTACTCATTAACCTGTAAAAGAGATGACGAAAATTAGTGACTTATCACTCTCCTAATGTCCCCTGATGGAGGCAGAATTATGAAATATGCCCCCTGCTGCTGATCCTGCAAGGACTTGGAAACGTCAGCCAGGGGGCAATAAATATTTCAGGTCATGGTAGGTTTTTTCTCCATTTCAGCCTTCGTAATGTAAGCATACTGTGTATTTACCCAGTAAATGGGTAAGTCATAGTGTAAATCTTTTGATGCACAAAGTTTTCAATCATCTGTATTTTTTGTTCTGGGTGACTCACACTTGAAGTAGAATCAGCAAAATATTAACTTTGCAGCACAGTAAGAAGCAAGCATTGTTAGAAATATGAAGAGATGAAAATACTCTTTGCCATTCTTCCATGCACAGTGGTATCTGCATTTTTAATGGAGACTCTGGTAAAATGTCTTTTCAATGCATATACAGATCAAAATCCACAATGTGAATTGTATCAAATAATAAATGATTAATATGTAAAAATACAAGCCTTTTTTTCCTCTGTGATTAGTAATTTTAATGGACGAAGGGTAGTGTGTAATTGTCAAGATCTGGAGACAACAAAATGGAAAACATTTTTCAGGCATCATTGACTTGCCTGCATATGCAGTTTGAATGCATTTCTAAATACAAATTAAAGATATGTATTATTAAAGTGCCCTACAAAGCTTGTCATAACTGTTTGCTAGTTCAAGTATTCTTAAGTGCAGATAATACTAGAAAGAATAAAACAATTATTAAATTGTAATATAACATGCAGATTGGGAAACAAATAGTATTGTGCAAGATGGTTCAGTTTGCAAATAAATTATCTATTAAAAACAAACACACCCCAAAGTTTTGAATAAAACTTGTTCTAGAACTTTTGAGTATCTAATGCAAGTTTCCCCTAGCTCACATTGTAGAAACGTTCCTGAAACATCATAGTTCAGGTGTGAAGCCTCAAGTACTTTACAATTTTAATATTTCATCCGTTTATTAAATTAAATAGGAGGCATAAGACATTTTACTTGTTACAGTGGGCTGGCAATTCAAATAACTTTTAGTGATGCAATGCAGACTTGTACATCATTTTCAGTGAGGGCCTCATAGCTAGGCACAACTTTTCTGTAATATACTAAATTGCTGGCATAACTTTAAGATTTGTAATACTCAGAGATCATGAAAATTAGAACAGAAGCCATATCTATATGGGAGAAGTAGCTGAAATATGGATTCAGCCTTAAAGCTTTTATAGATCTGTTGCAGAAAAAATTGTGTCTGATAAGTGTTAAACCATGGCACATATAAGTGCTATAGAGAGTGAAATGGAAGTATACCACAGAAATGCAATTTTAAAATTATGTGGTAAGCATTGTGGTAGTGTAATTTCTTAGAAAATGATGGTTTTATGGAGAAGTATTGTAAAGATACTGGTACACCATAGGTTTATGAATGGTAAATGTGATTATCGTCAATTTTAACTAGTCAGGGATTCAGTATTTTTGACTACTCAGTCAACAAATTAGTCATTTTCTGTGCAATGATTTTCAGTTAAGGCATTCAAGCATCTCTGTAATAATGCATAATCCCCAGGCTTTATTATTGCTTATATCTATGGATTTCCATTGCAGCACAGGTATAATGAGAAACGAATTATATTGCTTCTAAGGGAGTTAAACAGGCAAAAATTATGGAAAAAAAGAAAAGGCTGAAAATAAACATGCATCTGTTGTGAATCTGGATTGACTCTAAGGTTAAATGATGCATACCTTCACCAAATTGCCATGGAAAAATACAAAGTGATCATAATTACAGTAGAATGAAACCTTGTCTTCTTGCTTTGGTGGGCTCTTGAGTAAAATAAAAACTTTGGCTAAAATAAACTGAATTCATATTTGTAAGCTTTCTTTTAAGTAAGAAGAATATTCTTAAATGGTGTAAAATGCCATCCTTTTACTGACTTCAGGTAAATTATGACAATTTTGTACCACTCAAATGGCAGTCCCCAAGTATGACTATCTGATTTTACTGTAATATGCACACTGCAAATACGCAAACCATGCACTAGAAAGAACTGATCAAGAATCCTACTTACATTCTGATAAATATTCAGGAAGGTGGTCCTTTCAGTCTCCAACATAAAAAGTGAAAAAGACTACGAAAGTCCTGAAGAGGAGGAATTGTATATTGGTTCTTTCAGGTCAATTTTATATGATCTCTTTCCCCAAAAATTGTAAGTTAAAAAACCCCAAAACAACCCACCACCAAAATTAAAATACACAAAGTGAATGCAAATAGTAGCCCATACATGAAAATATAGATAATGTTCCAAACTCTCTTGGCTCCAGATGTTTTTATAAGTTAAACAGTTTACTGTTTTCACATATTTAAAACATTCTATTTTTTCACTTGATGTTTTTAAGCTTTGGGCAAACTTGCTGGCATTGATTTAGGTTATGCTTTTGTACCACATGTAGGTCAAACACACGTTCTGAAAAAATACAATACGAACAAGAATTCAATTATTAATATTGAGAGGTAATAACTGCTTACACTTTCTTCAGTAATTGTTTCACTAAGATGCTTTGCACTGAAGGTTTAACTAAAAAGTGTATTTTTTTACAAAGAATGGTATCATATAGCCATAGGTATTTGATAACTCTGCACAGAAACTTTTTGAATCATTTCAGTAAGCATGTGAAGCTGCTTATTTTCCTTAACATCAGTTGCCTATATTTGCATTATCCTTTCATAGTTTAAAATGAAAGCATAAAGCTCTGTAGAGAATTGCATTTCCAATTCTTGCGTGCTTAAAACCTCTTATTAAAGAAGTAATAAGAACACTTGATGTAGGACTTGTGAACTTAGTAGGGGACTCAGAAACCCCGGGAAGCACAGTCCCGAATATTCAGATTTGATTATGAAATTAATGGCAAACACTAAGCTGTGCCATTATAGCTTTGCTATTGCAGTCTTCTTTTTCTTCTTCTTCACCTTTTGGAGCCTCTCCTACCTCTCTCTAAAAAGTCCTATTTGGCTCCGTTTCTTATTTCTCTTGGAAACCTAATCTTTCTTCCTCCCCTTCGCACCCTCTCACTTTCTTCATTGTGCTTCACTTATTTCAGTTTTTTTGTCGTGTGCGAGAAATCCTGCGTGGCCATGCCCCAGAATTAAGAAAAGGCATTTTTACACCGGCTTGGGTTCGGGACTTCCCCGACCCCTTCGCAGATGTGGCAGTGTCAGGGCTTCAGCGGCAGCGGCCCTTGAAGGAGGGGTCCTGGCATTCCTGCCCCTCCGTTCCCGGCCTCCCCGACGGGGTCTCGCCCCCGTGGCCGGGGCGGGCGGACGGACGGACTGACGGACGGACGGACGGACGGACAGCAGCAGGTTGGAGAGCCGCGGAGGGCAGCGGTGCGGTGCGGGGGGGCCGCGCCGCCGCTCCCCGAGCTCCCACCTGGGGCCGCCCGGCCCGGCCTCGCCGCCCGCTCGCCCCCGCAGCCCTCGGGCCGCCGCCGGCGGGGCCGCTGCGGGCGCGACGCACCGCGCCGGTCGCTGTCTCGCAGTTATTGCTTCATAGCAGCGCCTTGTTTGTGAGGGACAGCAGCACCCCTGTGCTGGCAGCCCGGCGAGTTCCCAAACCCAAGAGGGGTTAAACCATTGAGATTTCTTTGTACTCCTCTCTTCTAATATTAGAGCACATATTGAAACGATAAACACAATGAAAAGCACGAAATATTTCATCAGTGTTGTAACTGTATATTTCCTTTATTCTGAAGAAATATCAAGTTTTGAACGGTGCACAGAGGCAGCAACTTCTGCTTTGGACTCTGCTCTCTTTGTAAAGACCGCGTTGTTACAGTTAAATCTAAAGACAGTTTTTAAAAAGCGTTAGATGTCAGAAAAGGGGGGAAATCTTACCGTCGAAAGATTGCTGCAGGTTCCAGCTCAGTCTGAAACTGCAGAGAAAAGCAGAGCAGCTGCTGAACAAAAGTTTTAGATTTTTTTTTTTAGAAAGTCTGCAAAACTAATTTCCCACAAAATAGGACTCAATTTCCGTTTAAGAAACTAGCTCTTGCAAATCTCATACAATTGTTGATTTTTTTCTACTAGCAATTGAAATTCATTTTATCTTATGCACATGGACCCAAGAATTTACACTTAAATTGCAGAAACGCAATGGTTTTCCTTTTCTATTTATAATTTTTTTTTAATGTTGATTTGAGGGGAGGAGGAGGAAGGTACTTCGAAGGGTAAGAACAAAACCTTTCCACAGTGGGCACCTCTTTGGTCAGTGATTAATAAATGGGTTATCCTGCTTTAAATCAGTTATGAGCCGCGTTCATGGCTACAGTTAATTCTGCAACACGCACGAAAAAAAAAAGAAAAAAAAAAAGGAAAACAAAAAGACAGGCCCAAGCTGTCCAGGTTGTCTCTCCTGATCTACTAGGGACCGCAACGAAGCAAATGAAGATACAGGAAATAAAAATTATGCGACTTCTTGTTTTGAAGGGACAGGGGGCAAGAAGGGTAACTTCTCTTTCTGCAACAAGGTTTACAGGCACGGTGGGCGCCGGTGGGTTCGTTGCAGAACCAGTCCCCGATGCTAGGGAATAGTGTAAAGTGCATGCGGGCAGCCCGGGCGGCGCCGCGCTCACCCCGGGCGTGGGTTCATGGGCACGGACGAAGCGGGAGGATGCCCCGCACCCGCACCGGGAGCTGGGCACGAGGGAGCGCGGCGTTCGGCCCGGGCCTCGGCCCGCTCAGCTCCTCACGCTGCTCTCGCACCTGGGCGCTCAGGTGAGGCTCTGGCGGGCGCCCTCGAGTCCCCGGGGAAACGGGGCGGTGGTGGTTCCCGCACGCCCGCCGGCGGCCCCAGAGTCACCCTCCGTATTTCGCCTCACGTCTTTATTGCGCTCCCCCGCCCGCTGCCCCCGAGGGGCGGCAGCGCCCCGAGCGGTCTGGTCAGCCCCGACGGGGCGGTGATGGCCCTGCGGGGGCCGCACGACTGGGGGACACGGCCGCCCCCTGCCCGGGGCGGGGTGCGCGGGCGGCCCCGCCGGCTCCGGGGCAGCCCCGGCGGGCGCCGCGGCGGGAGGCGCTCCCCGGTCCGCCTGGGGGCAGGGAGAAGCGGGCGGGCTGCGCCCCCGCGGAGCCGCCCCCCCCGCACGGCCGCGGGTGCCCGGGGCGCGGGCGCGCAGCGCTGCCGCCCCGCTGACGGAGCGACTCGGCGCGGGGACGGCGCTGGCGTTTTGGAGGGAGTTTGCATGTGGTCAGTGCTGTGCTGCTGAGCCAGCCCCCAGCTCACATTACACACTACTGTATTTATAACCTCTCGAAGCTGTTTCCCCCTTCAAGCAGTTCTCTGGGACCACCTTCTATTGGCTTCAACCTCTCCTACTTCTTGACATCTGAGCAGCTCTGAGAACGGCTCATCTAGGTCCGAGTGTTTATGCAGCGGAGACTGGCCACTAGGGCTAAAGACCTGGATTATCTGAGCTCAGCTGCCTGCTGCAGAGTCTGTCGGTGCCGTTTTGGAAAAAAAATCCCAGCCCCGATCTGTTTACAGTGAAAGTTGACAAAGGGTGGTGAAGTTGGATCTTTCCTAAACTCTCCTGCCTGGAACCTGAGACTTGCATGCCATGGATCACACACTTTTTGGCTGCCTGCGCAGCCCCCATGCCACTGCGCAGAGCTTGCACCCTTTCTCCCAGTCTTCTCTTGCCCTGCATGGAAGATCTGACCACATGTCCTACCCTGATCTGTCTTCTTCTTCTTCCTCTTGCATAATAGCGGGATACCCCAATGAGGAGGGCATGTTTGCCAGCCAGCATCATAGGGGGCACCACCACCATCACCATCACCACCACCATCACCACCAGCAACAGCAGCACCAGGCTTTGCAGACGAACTGGCACATTCCTCAGATGTCGTCTCCTCCCGCCGCGGCCAGGCACAGCCTCTGCCTTCAGCCCGATTCAGGAGGACCCCCGGAGCTGGGCAGCAGCCCCCCCGTCCTGTGTTCGAACTCTTCCAGCCTGGGCACCAATACCCCCACGGGGGCAGCGTGTGCGCCAGGGGACTATGGCAGGCAAGCTCTGTCCCCGGTGGAAACAGAGAAGAGGTCCGGCAAAAGGAAAAGCGACAGCTCAGGTAAAGACTCGCGCGTTCCCCTGCGGGGCGGGATCCCCGGGCGGCGGGTGCCGGGGGGAGGACGCGGTCGGGCCCCTCGTACCCGCCGCCGCTCGGCTCGGCTGGTCCGGCTCGGCCCAGCTTGGCTCGGCCGGCTGGCCCAGCCACGTCCGCCGCCGTGGTCTCGCCTCCGGCTGACACCGGGCTGCCGGGGTGTCTCCTTCCCTCCAGCGCACTCTCGGAATCTCCATCACTAACTCAAGCTTTATTGGGGCTACGCGGGGGGGGGAATAAAAACAAAAAATCCAACACGTGATAGAGTATGAAATGAAGGTGGTGGTGGGGGAGAGTTCCCTACAGAGAAGGAGAGAAACGGTTGTAGTTTTCATGCGGATTCTAGCATCTGGTCCCGCGGCCCCCTCCCCCCCGACCGATACGACACCTCTGCTTCAAAATTCAGAATCCAGCGCGCTCCTTCTCCTCCGCCCCTTCGCCACGGAGCTAACTGCGGCTCCGAGGCGATTGCACAACGCTTAGAAGCGCTGCCTTGGAAGCAGGGATTTGGGAGAGGAGCTGGTGCCTCGCTACCCTGTAGGATCTGTGTGATCCTGAATCAAATCCTCAGCGTGGAAGGGGCAAAATTTGGAGTCTGTAAAGCAAACGGGTGAATGGGAGCTTAGGAAAGCTGCTTCATTTCATTTAATTTCAGTTTGCTGGTGGAGGGGGCAGAGGGAAGAAAGGAACCATCTAATTTTTAAAATCACCATAATTCTTATTTAAACGCGAACATAAAAACATATAGATCCACAGTCATTCCAGAGCGCTGATTTGGCATCATAGAACATGCAAGAAAACTTGACATTATCTCTGCTTTCTAAAGCAGTAAAGCCTGTCAAAGTCCCGCTCTGACAAAAATAAAGCCATTTGGCGAAGGCAACCCGACTGATGGGACTTCCGTTAGGGCACACATAAACTGGGGGGTCACTAGCAATATACTGAGATAGGCAGGAGGCACTTGAAAACGAGAGGGCTCAACAGATTGAAAACTGGAGAGCTGGCGTGGCAAATTGTTTGTTATCGCGGAAGAGAAAGTGAAAGGCTTTTCCAAATATTTATGAAGTTCACAACTGAAACCATCACGTCTTTCATTCAAAAAGTTGTAAGTTTGGTAAAGTGGCAAGCAACAGGAACGATTTTTAAAAATTACCCTCAAGAATGCCATCATTTCCTTCATTGTCCATTACATTAAAAAGATTTACAGTAGTTTAGAACGTGTTTAACCGAATTTCATCTTATGTAGCTGATATACACACAGAAAACTCCTCCCAAGATTAAAAGCTATATATAGTTAAAACACTGTTGGTAAAATCTATTGTTTTGCCTTCTTTACATTCAATGACATAAAATGAATTATCTGATTTTGTGATGTGTATCAGCAGTCCCTGTTACTTCTGGGAAAATAACTGGATGCCTGCCGGTGTAAGGATTTGTTGTATTTGTCAGTCTATTTAAAGCTAAAGGAAAAAGGGAAATTGGTCCCTTTCACTGTTAGGGAAGTATCTGAATCACTTTCTGTTTATTTAATTTTGCAATACAAGCCAGAAAACACCAGTGGGGAATGCCCTAAACCTTACCCTGAAGTGACTGGAACCTTCCACTGGATTAGTGGACAAGGGTTCGAGCTTAAGCCATGGTTACATTTTTCTTGTGCTGTACTCTGATTCTCACTTTCTAAGACTTTCTGAAGATCAAGGCAGGTAACTATTTCCTTTTCCCTTCCACTAAGAAAAAAATATTATGGCTATTCACACAATTGTGTATCTCTCAAACTGAAAATAGATGTCTTTTGACAACAGCTGGGTAGCTGCTGTATCTTTGTTTTTTCTTCAGGAAAAGCCCGAGTTTTGGACTGAACATTTAAGCCCACCCCTTTATTAATCTTGAATCCTGGTGCTGGATATTTAGTACTCTATGGCAGCAAGAACTATTTTTAAGTCACTATGTTTCTAAATTTGTGATCCATAATTGCCTCTCAGTTGATTAAAAATCATCTCCTTTATTTCTCATTAATCTGTTTTTTAAAACAAATGACTGTGCTTGAAAGAATTTCGTCTATGCCTTCATCATACTTGGAACTACTTCAATAGACATTTGTAAAAAATCGTAATAGTAAATAACTAAGAGGTAAGGAGAGAGAGACTTTAAGTTTCAGTGCCAGCATTCTGAGACAGTTATTAATGCTTTTGATTATTTACACATATATTTCCTCTTCTGAAGCATTTCACTTAAAGCCACAGAATGTTCAGTGTTTTCTTGAGCACTGAATCTGTTCCGCATTTCAGGGCTGAATTAACCTTAGGCTACCCCTTTCTTGCACTACTCTGCTTTTGTTTCTGTATGTTTTAAGATCAGAAACACTGAGTCATAAAGCTGAGTTTGTAGATAGTTTAAATAAAGTAAAACATGATCATTCCTTCTTTAATTTGTTTTTAAATAAGTAACTGCTGCTCAACCATGTAGCTACTCTGAAAATTTACCCGGGGGGATACCCCATTTTAACTTATTTGTTATGATGGCGGGAGTATAATTTTTTATAATTACAAACAAAAATCCAGAGGGCAAGCAAAATTTCAGATGATCGACTGTGTGTTTTCCCCTGGACTTCACATATTGGAGGAGAATGGGAGGATACAGAAATATTTTCCTCTATGCTTTTGTTTGGGATTGAGAAAGTGAGGTGAAATGCGCTTTCGTGGTAGTTTATAAACTGACTTACAGTTTTCTTTAGCCCTAACCCAGGTTTTAAGCAGTTTGGGAAGTTCCCTTTGAAGATATTGGATAGGCTGCTACAGAACAGGGTGAAATTTTCCACTGTTCTCGTAAAGGACTGGGAAATACTGCCTACTTAGTCATCGACCCCTGCATGCTACAGTTGTCAGTGTATCCAGGTTTTGTAGTTGCTCTCCCATTATCTTCAGAACATTCCTTTCAACCTGTGTAGGCCCAGAAGTGGGCCAGTAATCTAGACCAGTTTACTGACCAGAAGTGGGCCAGTAAACTCTGCAAGTTGAGGAGTGATATACACAAATCTTTGTATGTTAGCATTTTGCAGTGAATAATGGTATCTGCACCCTTACCTTTGTAACTTAGCTCTGAGTGTGTCAAGGATGTAGTAGTAAAAGACGATACTAAATTTGAGGATAGGTTACAAGTAAAATAGCTTATTTTAAAGTGCACTAATGATCAGAATTGTTTGTGTGCTAATGAGGTGCGGATGAAAACCATGCTGAGTGTACACAAAACATATTCCTGGAGTGCTTTGTTGCCTTGTGGTACAAGTTGTTCTATATGGAATATTTTGGATTTTTTTAATGCCTTCCCTTCTCATTATTTGCCTGTGAGTTTTGGGGATATTTTATTTCTGTTTATTATAGAGTAGGTTTTGATTCTCAAATGATGCAGGACACATCAAATGCAAATTTACTACCGTGATTTCTTAAGTTCCGTTACTGGGGTCCAAGGTTTCTTAAAACTTCAGTCAAAAGAAAAGCATATTAATGCCTATACAGGAAGTGTAATCTAGGTTTACCAAAAAATACGAAAAGAGAGTCAATCTGGTAGCCTTAAGGAAGCCTAAAATGCTGCCGTGAAAAAACCATCTGTACTATGCTGAAAAGACCAGGGAGAGGTTGAGTACTGTCGAAGGAGTTCTTAAGCACTATATATAAATATATACAGATAAACATATATTATAAGTAAATTTCATTCCAATTAAAGTCTATTGTATTTAAACACATGCCTCCAGGGAGAAAGGCATGGGAAGCCTTTTTATAAAAAAAAAAAAACACCAACCAACTTTGACATGGAAAAATGTTTTTATTTGGCACAGATTTCCAAGGAAAGGCTAGCAGACTGTATTTACAATAATATAATCTAGAAACACTTCTGGAAAAGCATTTCAGGAATTCACTATTTCAGTAGTTCAGTCCTGTGTTTCAATAGCTGTTCTGCTGGGTTTTGTTCATTGACAAATCACATGAAAAGAAAATAATACTCTTTTTTCTCAAAAGTTTTAACATTTTATAACCTATCTATTCTCAACATGCAAGCAGTACATCTCTCGGGAATTTATTTTAAACACATCTAAATATCATAAATCATACGTTTTTGTTTGAAATGGCCTCTAAAAAGCAGGTCATTTTGATAAATGATTATAAATACTGTGAAATCCTGAGTTTTGAGGACTTCTGATTGGTTTCTGAAACATGTCAGTAAGAAAAATGAGCTGCACACTTGTAGTCAAAAAACACTGTGTAACTGATTCATCAATATGCCTGTACTTTTCAGCATGGTTATAAACAGAAGTGAGAAAAAATACATAATAAAGCATAGTTTTCTGGAAAGAGTTAATTTGTTTGGTATCCAGTATAAAAGCATCACTTATGCATAAATAAATAAAAAACCCCAAACAAACCAAAAAAAAGCACCTCTATAGATTTCATAAATGAAACAATTTAAAAACCTCATGAATAATAATCATATGTTTAGGAGAAAACTTTCAAGGCTGATTGCTTGTCAAATGTTAGACTTACTAGTAAGCTACTTGCTGAATTGTTTAATACACAAAAACTTGCAAGAAGTTCACTTTTGTTCTCAGGAAATATAATCAGGAATTTTTCTAAGACTAAAATTTCCAAAGGCTATTTCACTGATACATTCTCAGAATTCTGTGCCCCTAGTCAAAGAGGAAAAAAAAAAGGAAATAAGTATGACTTCTAATTATGCATTTGTCTTTTTGTATATATGATTCAGTAGGATTTATATTTTCCCCCCCTCCCTTCCCTCCCCCTCCCCCTCTCCCCGCCAACCCGCCCTTTTAGAAACATCGGGAGCCCAATCCAGACGTTCACTGGAGCACAAATATTTTTGTAAGAAGGTCCATTGACTCTAGTGGAAGTACTGAAGTGCTCAAGGTTTTTTAAGCCATTGGAGCTTAATTCTGTTACTCTGTTTTAAATTTT